TGGTGCCACTGCTGTAAAATGGGACTGATATCAGGGTTGGGGTAAGACTGAGAAAAACTGGATAAATTGTGTATACTGCACTGAAACAGATGAGGGAGAGAATAATTTAAAAGTGATGTATGATAGGGTATTATGGTTATCACAAGAGTCCACAGTTAAGGTTGCATAATGGAATGTACTTGGGACAGTGGGAAGGGTGCCGGGGGGCGGTGGGGGGGATTGTGTACCAGAGAAGGAGTGTTTCTTTTACTTTTCAGAGAGAGGAGCGAACTGGGGCGTGGGGAGGGCTGGGCAGGGAGAGAAGTGCAGCAGTGAATGAATGGAAATCTAAAATCTCTGTAAATGTTCATTAAAATTGTTAATAAGAAACATATTAAAAAAATCCAAAATCTCTGTAAATTTCATTAACATTAATAATAATAATGTAAAAAATTTTAGTGTGTATAGAAAAAATAGCACATTTGTCAGGATCAGATCTGTCCTGTGATATCAGGCATCCACGGGGGGGGGGGCGGTTCTTGGAATGTACCTCCTTCTGGTAAGGGGGTTTAATATATTAAGTCATGTACCAAGTATTTCCTGAACATGTACTGTGTGGTAGACCCTGGATGTTCCAGGATGTGGGAACAGCGTGGTGCAGAACTGAGGAGTAGCATGCTGGGAGGGTGCCAGGTGGGAAGTGCTTGGATTCAGTGGGAGCTGGCCAGCTGTGCAGGGAACAGCATTCCCAGCAGAAGGATCAGCCAGTGCAGAAGCTGCAGGGTGAGAGTATGCCTGGCGTGTCCATGACGAGGGTGAGAAAGAATGTGGAGAGTGAGGTTGAAAGGCAGATGGTGGGAAGGTGCGGTGTCAGGAGAGGATGGGGGGTGTGTGTGTGTGAGAGTGGGGGGTCAGTACTGGTGGTAGTAGGAACACCAGTCAGGAGGCTAATGTAATGGACCTAGTCTTTTGGGCCAGGGTGGGGGCAGCCACGAGGGCCAGTTCTGTTTGTCCTGAAGGTATGACGACCTCTCTTGGACAGTGAGGGAGGTGGAGACCCTGCATAATGTGGAGGGATGGGGGGTACTGGAGAAGATACGAGCTGGGCAGGGCAGTCCAGGCTCTGGTCAAGCTTGAAAGACCCAATTAGACATCCTGGTGGCACTGTCTTTTGGGCGACTGGAAGTCAAAGCTTATTTGGAGCCAACATGAGGCTGAGGGGGAGATTTGAGACGTGCCAGCATTAGTTTGCAAGCCATGGACACGGTGTGAGAACCCACTTGTGGAGAAGAGTAGGGGACTCAGAAAAGTCCAGGGGAGGAAGTAGCCAATAAGTTTGGTTTAGAAGTCTTAGGAAACGATAACAGGCATCTTTTTGTCTGGATGGAGTCTCTGACAGTATGAGCAGTTAAAACACTTGGCTGCCAAGAGGCTGCAGGTTCAAGGCCACCTTGGGAAGAGGCCTGGTGATCTGATCTACTTCCCGAGAGTCATTTAAAACCTTAAGGTTTGTGGAATCCAATGGACAACAGCCGCCCCAAAGATTAGATAGGGAACTTAGGAGGCTGAGTTTATTTTCATTCAGGGGGAAGAAACAACCCACAGCGAGGAGAGTGAGAACGGAGGCTCAAGGCAAAGGCCGTGCCCAGCGCCGAGAAATGGGCCGGGAGAAGCTGCTGGCTTGGTGGGGGCTCTGTGTGTGGCGTCCCCACAACAGAATGAAGTAGTGAGAACGCGGCAGAGGAAGGCGACGGGGCACAGCTCTGCTCCACCAGGGGTTGGAATCAGCTGGCTTTCCACCTGGATCGCCACAGCACCTCCCACCTGGCACCTCCGACAAAGGTGGACCCAGGCCTGCTCTCGGACCGGACAGCGTCCTCTTGTGCTTTTCAGGTAGCCTGTGTTCACCGGTGTGTTGTGTGTGTGCGCTGTGCACGCTGGTCAGGCCACAGGGGTGGAGCCAGGAGCACTTAATTGTCTTCACTCGTTTCACCCAAACAACAGCCTGGGGAAAGAGGTACAAATATGAACCCCACTTCACAGGTGAGGAAACTGAGGCCAGGAAAGGACAGGCTGCAAGGAAAGGACAGGCTTGGGCTCGGCCCTCTGACCTGCCTCTTTCCTCCTGGGCCTTCCTGATCTCACCTGGCCTTGAACTCTGCCCAGCCTCGCCCAGTTGCAGGTTAAATGAGGGCCACGCTTCCAAAACAGCACGTCCAGCACCCCGCGCAGACTCTGCGCTTGCTTCCCGTGCTCCACCCCCAGGAGCCCCTGCAGGGCTGGATGCAGGAGGAGAGGACTGGAAAAGGGCTGGGGACAAGGTAGGGGCTGGGAAGCATGGTGGACAAAGGGCTTGTGGACGCTTAGACTGTCCTGGAAGGACAAACAGAAAGGAGCACCAGGCCCTGGGATGCTGGATACTTGAGCAAAGCCACAGTCCAACCAGAAGAGATTATCACACTCACTCCTGAGTTTATTCCCGTTCATGGCGATCCTCCATTGTGTTTCTTATAGGAGGCGGCGGCCCCTCTTTCCTATGGAGTGGCTGGTGGATTTGAACTGCCAGCCTTTCTATTAGCAGGGTCTCACCTTCTGTAAAGTGGGCGCCTAATTCCATCCCTGCCTCAAAACTGCAGAGAGATGCTGATGGCTTGCTTTTGCCCAGAAGCACAGCAGCCCTTGAAAGTGGAGTCTGCCTCCCGGTGGGCCGAGGAGCACTCTGGGTGGCTCGGCAGTGGCTCTGTGTTGACAGTACCGCGGTGGAGGCTCCCAGGACCCTGGTGA